CTAATGATGATGTATTGATATTTCTGCAAGATAATAATAATTGTTTATCAGCCAAATGGCAGGGTCCTTTTAAAGTTATTAAGAAAATTTCAGATGTGGACTATCTTATTGATGTCAGAGGACATCATAAAGTATATAATCTAAACATGCTTAAAGAGTTTAAGTCTCGCCCTGGTGTTTTGTCTGAAGTGTTAGAAGCAGCTGAGGCACCCGACAATAATTTGCAAGAAGAAGAAATGGAGGCAGCATTCTGCCACGTCATTGACGAAGAGAGCAATGATGTCGAGGTGGACACTGCTCATCAATTGTTTCTACCCGAACTGGTACCCAGAGAAACATGGAGAGACGTGGAAGTCGCGCCCTCGGTTCCACCAGATATGGTGCGTCGTATAAAGCGTATTTTGGCTACATTCGACAAAACATTATCGGACATACCGGGTAGAACGACAGAAGCAGTACATTCCATTGAATTAATAGATCATAAACCCATCAAAATGAAACCATATGTTATACCTTTTCATTATCGGGATGCCGTGGATAAGGAAATCGATAACATGATTAATGGGGGTATAATTGAACCGTCGACATCACCTTATGCTTTTCCAATAGTGGTTGTCCGAAAGAAAGATGGAAGCCTTCGGATCTGCATAGATTTCCGAAAATTGAATCAAATCACGGTTGTAGATGCTGAAAATATCCCAAATATGGAAGATATGTTTGTTGCATTGTCGAAGGCTAGGTATTTTACAAAATTAGATCTTACCAAGGGTTATTGGCAGATTCCCTTAGACGAGGATTCCAAAAAATACACCGCGTTTCAGACGAACAAAGGTTTGGTTCACTTCAACTATATGGTCTTCGGGCTTTCGGGAGCACCGGCGACGTTCACCCGCCTCGTACGCAAGTTGTTACAGGGTCGTAATGATGTTATTCATTATCTGGATGACATTCTGCTTTTCCATAATGATTTAGACGAACATATTCGAGGTCTAAAGACATTACTGGAACGCATAAAATCGTTTAATCTGACAGTTAGACCAACTAAAGTGAAGGTCGCTTTCGAGGAGGTCACGTTCCTCGGTCATGTTGTAGGACACGGGGTCCGTAAACCCGAAGCCACCACGGTGGGTAAGATTCTTAACATCCCTATACCAAAAACGAAGAAACAAGTGCGTGCGTTATTGGGTTTATGTAACTTTTATGCCAAATTCATTCCTAACTATTCAACCATTACAGCCGTGTTGTCCTCATTGACGATGAAAGGAATGCCAGCGAAGGTTATCTGGACTAGAGAGTGCGAGGACGCGCTCCAGAGATTACAAAAGGCATTTAATAGTAATCCGTTCTTGTGTTTGCCAGATTTGTCTCTGCCGTTTTATGTATCCACAGATGCGTCTGATGTTGCGATTGGTGGGACGTTGATGCAATCCAGAGAGGGCACCCTACTCCCTGTTGTTTATGCCAGCAGGAAGCTGTTTCCTACTGAATGCCGTTACAGCGTGGGCGAGAGGGAAGCACTAGCCATTTTTTGGGCAGTAGGGAAGTTTACCCAATTCCTGTATGGCAGTCACTTCTTTATCTTGACAGACCATCGTCCACTCGAAGTCTTGAACTCAGCACCCATCAAAAACTCACGCATATTAAGATGGACAATGTTTCTACAGACGTTCAACTTCACAGTTATTTAATCCCCAGGGAAAGAAAATGTCTTAGCCGATTTTTTGTCGCGCACCCCAGAGGCATTGGAATAGGATTGATGTTTATTTCTTGAATTTACATGATATTTAAAATGCATGCTGTTATGAAAATAATTTGGATAACGATAATGTTGTTGATAATAATGCTTAGTGAAGTCAGGAATCTATATTTTGCATGCATTTAGTAATGTATTGACGATATATTGAGGAGTGAGTGTGTGTGTATTCAAGTGTTCTTATTTGCTCTCACGTACTGGTGCTGTTTGCCGCGACATGACTCCAGTTTTCCGACCGAGACTACGTCAAGTCCTAGTGCTCGGTCGTCCTCGGGAGGGGGGGAAAGCTGTCGCGTGCGAATGTGCACCAGAACGCACCGGTATGGAGTGAGCAAATAAGACGTCAAAACAATACGTAACGTTGTTATGATAATATTGTTGTCAAAGCAGTTGATGTTTATAGTCCGAAGGAGACGGACGTGGGAATCCTTGAGGACGCTTTACCCCGGGATCCCACGGAAGCAAACGTTATATAAAGTTGGATCCTTGAGGACGTTTTACCCCGGGATTCCAAGATAGACCTCAGCAGGAAGCTGGTTAATACTACATTCTCGGCAGTAAGCCGGTATACTTTCATTGCTTAATTCGGACTTGTCCGAGGAGAAAGTAAATCGTCTGGATCTCAAGGTCGGACTGCGACCTATCGTGAGGACATATCATTACATGGATGTACGAGCGAGCTTTGGTTGATCGAGTTGATTATTACTTGCATATGTATCCTTTGTGTTAATCATTGCTGATTGTATATATCAATACAACCGTTGGAACTTAACGCATAGCGTTCGAGCTCTACATTTTGAAAGCATTGAAGTAACTACTGTTTTACCCCTACTTAGCCTATTTCATCTTGGTACCACACACATCAGCATGAAGCTCTGCACGTCACAATGAAGGACCGCACGTATCACTTGGGTGAGCCCAGAACCAGAGCGCCATGTGTCGGCTCTGCATACATGGATGCCTCCTTGGATGGCGGGGAATGCCCAAGATCTGCCCCTGCCTTCCCTTGAGGGCTAACTGTTCCACAGGGGGCCAACCCAAAGGGGTACTCCGGGGGCAATACCTGCGACAAAGGAGACGAAGTGGCATGGGCAGCTGTACGCCGACTTCGAAGGAAGACGTCAGGCCTATTTCTAGGGTGACTGTGGCCATTGTTTTGTGTGGGTCGAGACGTTGCCTGATTTGTGTGGTGTCCACTTCGTCTCCTTTGCCGCAGGTATTGCCCCCGGAGTACCCCTTTGGGTCGGCCCCCTGTGGAACAGTTAGCCCTCAAGGGAAGGCAGGGGCAGATCTTGGGCATTCCCCGCCATCCAAGGAGGCATCCATGTATGCAGAGCCGACACATGGCGCTCTGGTTCTGGGCTCACCCAAGGAATCGTCACGTCCTGCACAAGCCTGCTTAACCTCACAACCGTATCAGGCCTCCCGCTCGACAGGGGCTGCGCCCTCTGGGGGTCAGCGGGGAGCAGCCCGCGGGTTTTGGACTTTTGTAACCACACAGATAGGTACATTCTTTTTTCTTCGCACGTTAGATTTCTTTGACGAGCCGTTAGCCCGACAGATTTTACATCCTGCATCAGGCATATCGTTATCAGTTTTGTCCCAACACTCGGGCGAGTGGTGTCCTTGGGTGTGGACATTCGGTCTTTTTTTAGTTCAATTCTAATTTTGAGGTCAGATTTTGATCCGTATGATCTAGTTTTGTCGGAAATTTAGGCTTAGCCATCCGATCGATGGATGGTTGCTGTTGTGGTGTACCACAGCGCGGTGACGACGACACTGAGGGTTTACCAAGGACATGAATGGCCAGCCTATGGATGGTTGCTGTTGTGGTGTACCCCAGCGCGGTGACGACGACAATGAGGGTTAACCAAGGATGTACATGAATGGCCAGCCTATGGATGGTTGCTGTTGTGGTGTACCCCAGCGCGGTGACGACGACACTGAGGGTTAACCGAGGATGTACATGAATGGCCAGCCTATGGATGGTTTCTGTTGTGGTGTACCCCAGCGCGGTGATGACGACACTGAGGGTTAACAGAGGATGTGCAGTGAACAATGTTCTCTTTATTCCGCAGTCTTTTAACCAAGGGTTGTAATTTTGGCTGTACGTTTGGCAGACCTACTCATGTTCCTAATGAGTTTTGATAACAATTTTTTCACCCAAGCGTTTGGGGGCGGGCTGATGAGAGCCACAAGGACACATCACCTCTGGGGGCCGCCAAACTCCGAGATCCCCTGGCAGCTCTGTTAATGCTCATTTGAGACATTATCCGTGGCGCACGACGAGGACGTGCTGCCGGGTCTTGCGTGAGGTTCCGTACAACCAGGATATTAAAGGACTGGCGCCCGAGTGACGTACGGAGTATCTCCTTATACACATCATGTTGGACTTAACTTCCCCTCACGCCTGTGACATAAATCACCGCGCCACACTGATTAGTTGATTGGCTGGTTAGCTGATTGGGTGGTTTGCTGATCGAGGATACAGCAGATAGATTGGCTGGTTTTGCACAACCTGGTGGTAAACTGATGCATGACAAGCTAGCTGTGGTAAGGGCCCTTTGTGAGGGAGTAAACAGTGAGGAGGCACACCCAGATCATCATGGTCTGAAGAGATTGATGCAGTGGGGAGTGACTAGGGGATCTGGTCGACACTCAAGACAATGGTGACGCACGCACGCACGCAGGCAGGCACACACAGTCAGACTATTACTGGTCCCATCAGAACTGGAAGTCTGTGCTTGCTTCTGAAGATGGAGATTAAGACTAAAATGGGTACTGGGTAATGTGCTGGAAAGTAAATGTGGCCAGCATGATGGTGACAACATCACAGCTCAAGTGACAGCTGGTCTTTACAAAATATGGGTCTGGCACTATCTTTTTAATGTGCAGCCTACATGACAAGTCTCCTTTACTTTACTGAACAGAATCATTAGGTAAACAGGGGATTTAATGTGAAAAGAATATTTTGTGAAAATAAATGTTTTACTATAAATGGATGTATTGTGTAAATTATCATCATCAAGTGCCTTGCCGACTGGCGAGGGCAATCATGGCTCTCAACAATCATCAACTGCGTGTATCAGTTCGTGTGTTGACACACAGATCTTTCAAGTGGTCACAACATGTTCCATTTTCCCTTTTCTCATAACATGACCAGATTGTGTAAACAGAAAATATCTTTTGAACAGAGAGATTGTGTAAAGAAATGCTATCTAATTCATTTACTCAAAAGATAGCTTACATGAAACTGCTGCAGCTGTTGAATAAACTGTAGCACATCATCTGATTCATTCCCACTGGCATAGATGTAAGTATCTCTGTACTGGTGTCATAAATTAAACAACGATAAAATCTTCAATGATGAGTTTATGTAAGGAAAAGACTGGAGGAATTACTGAGACAATGATAGTAAATATGGAAAAGCAAATTCACAGGTTCAGGTTGGGTTCAAATCAGCACTGCAGCTGATTTCTTTCCAAATTTACGTTGGCTTTCAGGTCAGCCCAGCCTCAAATGGGTTCCAGATAATATCTTGGGAAGCAAAGGTGACTGGTGTGATGCTGACTACCTCACCCACTGAGTGCCTATTGGTCGATAAAGTTACACTGTGTATGAGTCTAGCATCATATACCTGATAAACGGTCCTTTACTTGTAACTCAATGACTGATGTAACTGTATGACTGATGTAACTGTATGACTGATGTAACTGTATGGCTGATGTAACTGTATGACTGATGTAACTGTATGACTGATGAAACTGTATGACTGATGTAACTCTGTGACTGATGTAACTCAGTGACTGATGTAACTGTATGACTGATGTGACAAAGGTATACAAATTATCCTTTCCTTTATTTTACTTAATTTCATTTCTTCAAAGTAAGTTCAGGTTTAGGTTTAGATGATGGATCAACATCACGGCACATCTACTTCTGACTCAAGCCCGAGTCTGAAGAATCTCAGCGCGGTGCATGAACTCTGTCACACCAGCGATGATCCTGAAATACTTTGGGTAGATTTGTAACTCAAAATTTTGGCCCAGCAGCGTTGTTAGGCCACTCTTTTTCGATTTCCAACTGCCAAGGGATTTTTTAAGGGGGCAACAATACACATGGGTATCCGATCTTACTACCCAAAGACCAGGGGAAATTTCTAAAGTCCGTGTAAAAAATGCCAGCTTTCAAGGGCATTGAACCTGGGATCTCCATCACTGCCTTAAAACAAGGCAACCCACTTCAAAGTAAGTGTGCATCTATTTGGCAGGCTAGGAACCAAAAGTCTGCTTACAAATAAGACAGATCTGTAAAACAGACATGCAAACAAACTCAGGCTTAGAAACAAGACTGAAGCCCAGAGGTGGACCCACACACACAAAAATTCAAAAATGAGTTTACAGCGGTGAACATAAAGAAGAAGAAGACTCAAATTCATACATCATTGAAATGTCCTTGTACTGGAACCCACAGGATCAGAGAAATCAAGGCAGACCAGCAGATCACACACAAATATTTTTAAAAACATGGGAATGGGAACTTGGCAGGGAAGTTAACAAAGTTAGGGAGGACATGGGGGTACTCTGTAAGAAATAGCAAACAGCAGGATAGTGTGGCATCAGCTGGTTAAAAGCCTATTCTTCCTTGATGGATAAAAGGCAGGAGAAGAAGCAGAAGTAGAAATTCACAGGCAGGTATTCATGACAGTTGTGAGTTCTAATCCTTATCTTTCATCTATTTACAATCCCACAACATTGTGTGTTGCTGACTTTTACTCATCACCCTCATTGTCATGTTAAGCTCTTATACTTTCCTTATGGCTTTATAGTTTATTCTTCCATTTCTGGCTTGATGTTTTTGTATTTGAGTAGAGTATTTTTTTTTCTTTTTAACTAGCCACAGCCCGCCATGTCAATCCAAGTGCTAGGACACAAGAGTTGTAACTTTGCTATACAGAACCAAAATCCATCCACAATACAGGTTACTTCAACACCATCAGGTGCACCTATATAACTGAGTTATATGGCTGAACAGGGTTTCTGTGATTTACTCCAGTCAGAAAGCATCCAGATGGTGACTCTGGGTGTCAGTCTTTCAGGCAGCAATCCTGAAGCGGAAAAATTGAAACAAAAATAACTGAGCATACAGTATATTAAGTGCTAACTGGTCTAGAAAACTATAGAACAAACATCATACCCCACGTGGCTGAAGACATGGAACATTGTCCTTTACCTAACTTTTAAAATATTAAATAGCTAATGTGAAAAGCTACAACTGGCAACTGAAAGGAATTGAAGACAAAAAGAATGTAGAAAAAACAACAACAAAGTATTCTTATTTTATGTTTGCTGATCAAGACTGTTGAAAGATCTGCTTGTATCTACAAGTGTCGTATCTTTTGTCAAAACTGTCACTTATATTTTGTGTTATTTTATTTGCTGGTATTTCCCCTGTGGGTTCTGGGGCCCTATTAAAGGAAAAACAAGAACAGACCCACTGCCTGCCCAAAAGCATGTCGTTAGAGTCGACTAATTGGGAGCTTCCTTCGAAGTCAGAGTGCATCTGCCTGAGAGGCAAGGAACCAACAGTCTACACTCAATTGTGTCAGATCTGTCAAACGGATGCACACGCAACACTCAGGTTCTGGAACAGGACTGCAGTCAAGAAGTGGACCAACAACCATAACTTTCCACCAGAGTTTACAGCTGGTGAACGCAAAGAAGACAAAGAAGAAGATTTGCTGGTATTAGCATGGTAGTGCTCCTTTATACCCTGGGGAAATGAAACAATCATTTAAAATAAAATTGTTTACAACAAAAGCCAGAAAATATCTGCCATCTAGCCTTCATCCCTTTCACTCCGAGAAAACGCAAAACCAACACCCCCAGCTGGATCCGATTTCTCGCAAATGTCACTAATTTTCCAAGCTGTGACCTGTTTACGAGAAGCACAGTTTATGCTATTGGCCGCATTTACACCTGCACAAATGTTTAGAAGATTAGGATATAAATTTATTAACTAAAAACAGTATTATAGGGGAGGGGCGGGGGGGGGGGGGGGGGGGGGGGTGGTGTTAGCCAAATAGTTTTTCTAAAGCCAAGGTGTCATCACATTTTAATGTCTGCCTCAGTGGTAGAGGTCACAGCATGAGTCACCTGATACATGTTTTTGTTCTTGGCCCCCAGGAAATGTATTCCATTTAATGCTTTATCCTGTTTCTGTCTACTGATTACTCCCTTTATATATCTTTGTATATTTTGTGATTAAAAAATTTAACAATGTAGATAAATCAATTTTCAAATAATATAATAATGACTTTCTAAAACTAGTTTTTACAGTATATTTTTTCTGGAACTCCAACAGGGTCACAACCATGTTGTATTCTAGGGAATCTTTCATTTAATACTTCACTCTGTTCATGTTTATTGATTTCTGTGTATATCTTTGTTTATTTCAATAACAAACATTTAACATGTAAATAAATCAATTTTTAATGAATTTATTTGTGATCTAGTACACTTTTTTGAAGTTTTGTTTTGGTTTTTTTAATTAAATCCAAAAAAAGTCTTTTTTATTTTATTTTAAGAGGGTTCTCTGCGCAAGAGGGTTGCGATCTATAGAGATTTGTTGCATAAGATGTCCATTTAACAAAATGCAGTTATTATTTCTTCAAGTCTGTTCTTTATCTCTGTTATATATCTTCCATCTGATGTTGCAACTTACAATAACAATAACCAGAGAAAAAAATACCTTATAGCTAAGTTCAAGATGGCAAAAATGCTAACCACTTTCATGAAACCCAGTCTATAACAACAGCAAGTTATTTCATTTGAAGGCATCAAGCAGATATGATTTTAATCTGAATCCTGATCATGAATATGAGAAAATAATCATGAAACAGACTAAATAAAGACATTGCTTCTTCTCCTTTTCTTAATCTTCATCCTCATCTTTTTCTTGTTCTCCTTCTTCTCTCCCCTTTTCTCTTAAACTTCCTCATCTTCATCATGCTGCATCATTTTTTTTTTTTTTCTTCTTCTGCTGAAATCACACATTTAATTTCGGATTCACACACATGAATTGGATTCAGATGTGAAGGAGATTCACAAATGTATATGGGATACACACAAAGATACTTACATTATAATCAATAATAATACTATCATAACCCATGACAGCAAGTCTCTCCAGCTCTGCCAGGTCTGACTTTCTGACCATTCTAACCAAAATCTGAAAAAAGTGGAAATTTATTTGAACATATTTCACTTTCATACTTTTGTTGAAATGCATTTAAAAAAATACTATATTCAAAGACAATTTCTAAAGTATATCAAAGATAAGAAGATTGATTCATTGCACCAGGTTAAATCCAATCTGATCCAATCTATCTCTGTACAATGCCTTGCCACTTGTCAAAACCATGACACAAGCATGTTACTGTATCACCAGCAAGATACCCAAGTACAAAATACTGTCAACAAGAACAGTAAAGTAAGCAAGTTTATCAAGGCATTTCATGTGCAATCAGGCAATCTAGATGTCAGAAAAGTGGTAATGTAAGTAGTGTTATTCTGGTCTTTGATGTTTTCAGGTAAATGACTAGTAAAAAATATTGCTTTCATCCCCCCCCCCCTTTCTGTCTATGGCACCACCACTGACTGCTCTTCCCACCACTTCTGTCACAACCACTGCTGTCACCACCATTGCTGTTTCTAAAACTGCTGTCACCACCACTGCTGTCTCTAAAACTGCTGCCACCACCACTGCTGTCCCTAAAACTGCTGCACCACCATTGCTGTCTCTAAAACTGCTGTCTCTGCCACTGCGTACACCACCTCTGCTATCATAAGTGCTGTCTCTTTCACTGCTGTCTCTGACCCTGTTGTCTCTGACACTGCTGTCTCTGACACTGCTATCTCTGCCACTGCTGTCTCTGCTACTGCTGTCTCTGACACTGATGTCTCTGCCACTGCTGTCTCTGCCACTGCTGTCTCTGACACTGTTGTCTCTGACACTGCTGTCTCTGACACTGTTGTCTCTGACACTGCTGTCTCTGACGCTGTTGTCTCTGACACTGCTGACACTGCTGTCCCTGCCACTGCTGTCTCTGACACTGTTGTCTCTGCCACTGCTGTCACTATGATGGATGTCATTGCTACCTCCTCCTGTGCTCAAAATTTTTGCTTCTACTCTTTATCCTGCATCGAAGCATACACCTTCACTCAACTGACACTACTTACTTTTATTCTGGAGCTCACTTCCTGTCATTCCTGTAATAATATTTTTCCTCCCCCTGTGGGTTTTCGTGGGGAGTGGGGAACCAAACTGATCGCCACCTAACAAACAAACCATACAAAGGCTTTGCTGAAATTGGATGTGTTGGTCCAGAAGATGCTGACATTATAACTTACTGAAACAGCAATGACACCAATATTTACATACCTGGTCAATTACATCAACAATGTCCTTTCGTCTTGCAAGTCTAGCTACATCTCGCAGCGTCACACCAGTCTATGGATAAGGAGAACAACAACTTAAAAAAATTAAACATACACAAAAAAACATGATTGGGAGCCAAAGTGGTGTAGTGGCTAACTGCTCGCCTGTCAGCCTGAGGTTGTTTGATTCAAATCTGCATTGAGTCTAATTTTTTTAAACTGACCTTTGCATCCAGTAAACTCGGCTCCAAATAAACACCAAGAAGTAAAGGCTGTGATGCTGACCAGTTTCTTTTTATTGTTACCCTTGGTTGATGTAAAAGAACTCCTGATTCACATCTCTCAGCATCAGAGTTATACTTCTAGGTAATCATTATCATCATGTGGTGCTTATTAGGGCAACTTTATAGCACTGCAGAACTAAAAAGAGGTCTACTGATATAAAAGCATTTTTTTTTAAACTTTCAGTGACAGAAACTAATAAATAAGAATGAAAAATTCTAACTCTGACACAAATGTTACCAGAATGGTTTACCCCATCTCTCTGTGAAACATCCAGTCCATGTTTCAACATGTGAACAATCACTTCAACAGGAATCTTTCCTCTGGTTCTATCCAAAGCATAAACAGCAGCATTTCGGCCTCTCTGAAATTAACCCAGTGTATTGTTCTTAACAACACCATATGTTGTGAGAGACAGAAAGAGAGAGAGAGAGAAAGAGAAAGAGAGAGAGAGAGAGAGAGAGAGAGAGAGAGAGAGAGAGAGAGAGAGAGAGAAGAAGAATAGATAATGTTGTTTGAAACAAATACAAAACAAAATCAACATCTATCTTCCTCTTCTTTTTTATTCATTCATCAGCATGATGTAACTGTGTTGTGCCCATTTACAGCATAATTTCAATATTTGCACTGTTGGTCAACACATGCTATTTCTTAGGGCATTTGTTTGCCAAGTTAGCTTTGTCCATTAGTTTTGAGAGACACTGTGGAGCACTTCGCAGCATCATATCTATGGTTACCTTTTCATCCCCATGATCTACTGATGTTGCCCCCAAAGGACCTGTTCAGGACAGTCACGTGCAGACTGATCAGCCTTAAAAGGAAGGCAGAGGCAGAACATGGGTATTCTCCACCATCACTTTAACTTCCATAAATGCAGAGCCAATTCATGGCACTCTGGTACTGGGCTCATTCAAGGAATTGTCATGTCCTACAAATTATTGTTTAACCTAGCTTCAGTATAGGAAGTAGTTCACAGATGCAAGATTTTCGGACCTATACAGAATAGGCATCTTACTTACTCTGCATGTTAGATTTCTCTCTTAACCCATGGCACCTTTCACGTGGATGTCACTGGGGCACTTTGTGAGAAGCATGCATTACGCATGGCTACCATGTATGTTCATGACACTGTGACAAACATGATCAATAGTAGCAGACTTCTGCACCTTTTGTGTCATCAAGTAGGATCTCTTAGCAAAAGACATCTGAACCTTCGCTGGATTTTTAAACTTATCTGACCATACAGTAGGAGTCTCGGTCAACAGACATTTCAACCAAAGTTTGTCATTTAGTATGACTTGTGGTTGACAGACATTTGAACCACTGTTTGTTATCTAGTAGAATAATTAGCAAGAAGAATTTTATGTTTTCCCCGGGGATCGCTGTTAAAGCTAAAGAGTGCATGCTTTTTGCAATGCTTTCGGCAGGTGGCTAGCCGTTTTGCAGAAAGAGGCCAAGCCATATGGGATAAAACTGTGCAATAAAGCTGATCCTCTTGACTTTAACTTTCAACATTTTAAATTTAAGCCTTGTTTGTTTGTTTTAGTATCCAGAAGCCATGAGTTGTTAACCCTTAGGCTCAGTATTATGGATATCGAAACCTTTCGGCCTTGATTCCATTGTAAATACCGTAAATCTGGGAGAAATGTGGCTTTCCTGCCTACCCCCGAGATTGAACCCGGACCAAAAGGAGTTTGTCACCTGGTCTCCGCGCAATCCGGTTTAGCCAACTAAGCTAGAGAGCCGGGCTAAATTTAAGTCTTAAAATGATGACAAGTGTCTCACTGCAGGAATAAGTGACCTTTAACTGAAGATCAACTCATGACTCCTAAAAAAATTATGTTATCATTGGCCAGGTCTATACTTCATGTTAACCAATCAATGGAACACAGACAATATATCCAACTATATTGTTTTACATAAACATATCATGTCACACCAAACTAAAATAAGTACCTCATCTCTGAGGGAAAAGTCCACACTAGCTTGTAGTACTGCCCATAAGATGTTATTTGATATTTTAGGATCGATGGCAGCAAAGAACAAAGGAGCCTTTCAAATGACAAGAAAATATAGCAAAAGTGGTTCTTAAATTATTCACTTTTGACCCTGATTTCTACCTTTAGACAACATAATATAATCCATATAATTACAGAATAAATAAATGGGTGGAAGCATGTGTAGATGGATGGATGGATGCTAGGGCAGATAGATTTTAAAAATATGAATAAATAAATAAATGAATGACGAGTGAATTAATCAGAAAATAAAGCTCCAATGAATTATTTCTTTATGAAAACATTAATCAATGAACAAAAACATTAGTTATTAAGAAAATGAATTACTAGATGAGTTAACACGTGGAATGAATAAACGTATAAATTGTTTATATACAAAACACCTTAAGAAAGCCTTGAACTGTGACTCTGACATTGACATTGACCCTTGATTTGCATATCATGTTTACAATTTTGCTGTCCTGACGGTTTATAGCAAACTGAAGAATGTGACTTGAATCTGCAGCCTGCAGAATAAATGAGAAAAAAAATGTATAGTGTAACATATTAGACTTTAAAGAGAAAGTCTTAAAGAAAATTCACAGACCAGCCATTTAACACCACACTGCACAGATCCCCAGTCAACACACATGAAGCTCTAAACTGCTTTATAGAATCAGAGAAGCATTAGCGCCTGGACCAGAGCTGCTCTACACTTCTAGTGACTACCAGGGACTGCACAATATAGATTGGATCAATGTCTTCTTCGAGGCTGAAGTGCCTCTGCCTGAATGACAAGACAAAAACAGTCCCCACCCAACAAGCCAGATCTGATGAACAGATGTGCATGCAACACTCGAGTCCTGGAACAAGCTCAGAAACAGATGATCAACCAGGACTTTCTGCCACAGTCCACAGGAAGTAAAGACAGAAGCGGAAGAAATTCCTTTATTAATTTAGCTAGTTTCTTTCATGTCTTTCTCATTGTTGGTCATTTCTCTAATTACCCTATCATCATCATAATGTATTCTCTACCAAGCAGTGCAGGTGCTCATGTCTCCCAACAGATCTTGATCCTTGGTATTTTGAATCAATTCCACTGATGACATTCCTAAATGCCATCGCTTCAAGCCATCACGCATTATCTCTCCACTGATGATATTCCTAAATGCCATCGCTTCAAGCCATCACGCATTATCTCTCCAATGATGACATTCCTAAATGCCATCGCTTCAAGCCGTCACGCATTATCTCTCCAATGATGACATTCCTAAATGCCATCGCTTCAAGCCATCACGCATTATCTCTCCACTGATGACATTCCTAAATGCCATCGCTTCAAGCCATCAGGAATTATCTCTCCACTGATGACATTCCTAAATGCCATCGCTTCAAGCCATCACTTATTATCTCTCCACTGATGACATTCCTAAATGTCATTGCTTCAAGTCATCCCACATTATCTCTCCACTGATGACATTCCTAAATGCCATCGCTTCAAGCCATCACACATTATCCCTCCACTGATGACATTCCTAAATGCCATCGCTTCAAGCCATCACTTATTTTCTCTCCACTGATGACATTCCTAAATGTCATCACTTCAAGTCATCACGCATTATCTCTCCACTGATGACATTCCTAAATGCCATCGCTTCAAGCCATCACGCATTATCTCTCCACTGATGACATTCCTGAATGCCATCGCTTCAAGCCATCACGCATTATCTCTCCACTGATGACATTCCTGAATGCCATCACTTCAAGCCATCATGCATTATCTCTCCACTGATGACATTCCTTAATGTCCTTGCTTCAAGTCATTTCGCATTATCTCTCCACAGATGACATTCCTAAATGCCATCACTTCAAGCCATCACGCATTATCTCTCCACTGATGACATTCCTAAATGTCATCGCTTCAAGTCATCACGCATTATCTTTCCACTGATGACATTCCTAAATGTCATCGCTTCAAGCCATCACGCATTATCTCTCTTGGTCTGTCTCTGCCTCATACAAATAATTTTGGCTCTCCTATATTTATTCTAAAGACACAGATGACAGCTGTTAGTGCATTTGCCTGCTAAGAAAATTGTATGGATTTCTTCTACTTCTCCTTCTGCCCTTTGCACTTTAAAGGACAGTTGCACATCCTCTGTTGTGAATTACAGATGATTCTGAAGATGTTAAGGTCGACCTTTACTATGATTTAGAGATGTATGCAAGCAGGATATGAATGATTCCGGTATTGATGTGGATTCATGGAAACAGGATGCCACGGATTGCACTAAATGAAAGGGGGAATTCAGGAAGGGAATATAGATAAAGGCAGGTTGAAGATATGTTAGGAGTGGAGCCTCTGAAAAAAAGCATGTAAATACATGTGATGGCAGCAACGGTCCTGAAATCCCATGCAAAATTTATGGAAGGCTTTTCTTAACGCAACTGGGTCTTGACAGTCAAACTAGGAGTTGTGACTCTTTTGCCTCCTTATAGCACAATAGAAACAGATTATCTGGAAATATGGAAGGTTACAGCAGAATAGAACTCTTATCTATTATCTTGAAAGATTCAGCACAAGAGAGCTCTATCCTCTGGAGAGATGGAAAATTACAGCACAAGAGAAATTTATCATCTGGAGAGATGGAAAATTACAGCACAAGAGAAATTTATCATCTGGAGAGATGGAAAATCATAGCAGAACAGAACTTTGTCATCTGGAGAGATGGAAAATTACAGCAGAACAGAACTTTGTCATCAGGAGAGATGGAAAACTATGACATAACGGAACTCAATCTTCTGGGGAGATGGAAAATTACAGCACAGTAGAACTCCATCACATGGAAAGATGCCAACACGGTGTAACAAGAACTGATTTGAACTGAGAATCTGGTGATCACTGAGTTCACAAAGCATAACCATCCACACTTATCATCATGCCACATGTTGATGATGATAATGATGATGAGGAGGTCATGATGATGAAATCTTAGTTCGGTAATAAACTAACACTGAAGATGCTTACATAGTTTAAGAAGTTAATATCACATCTTGCATTGGACATGTGGCTCCATGCTTTCTCTTGATCTCCTTCTAAAACTGAGTAAATGGCTCCCTTAGAAAAAAATGTAAACAGAAAATAAAGGAGAGCAGAAAAGATGAGAGGGTAGCAATATGCATTACATATATATATTGTTATTTTTTATAAAAATGAAAAGATAACATATAGGGAAAGGCACTAAATTATGAGGACATAAAAATAGGCAAAAAATATTTTAAAATTTAAACTAAAAGATAAGATGTGTGGGCATAGAAATATGACTTAAATATACACATTTAAAGAAAATAATACTAGTTTTTTTTAAAAACATAGCTCAACTTATACGCTTTCTCTTTTTCTTCTTAACATTCACTGGCTGTAAACTCTTAAAGTTCTGGTTTTTTGTCAACTCAAGGACTTTGGTCTTGCTCAAGAACTTTAGTTTTACATGCACATCCATTTTACAGATCTGGCCTATCATTATGCAGACTGTTGGTTCCTTGCCTCTCAGATAGATGTACTTCAACTCTGAAGGAAACACCCCTAATTAATCACCTCTTACAACATGCTTGTTAGGTGGGGTGGTGGGTCTATTCTCTGCTCTCCAAAATGAAACCCCAAAAACCCACACCAGGAAACTATATTCTTCTTCTGCTTCTACATGTTCACTGGCTGTCAACTCCAGTGGACAGTTCTGGGTGTTTGTCTTACTCCAGAACCTGAGTGTTGTGTGCACATCTTTTTCACACAACAGGTTTTCTTTTTAATGCAGACCCTTGCCTTGGATGTAGAATATGGTGCTTTATTGTTATTATGACACATATATAAATATATTTAGAGGTTTTTTTGCCCTGCATTGTCACATTCTTTCCTTTTCTTGTCACTTAATTTTTATTTATTTTTCTCTCCTACTCTCAGTGTTTCTCTCTGAAAATGGCTGTGTGTATATGTGTGTGTATATGTGTGTGTATATGTGTGTGTGTGTGTGTGCACGTGCACGATCATGCAGATATGAGTGTATGTTAATTCAAGCTCTTTGCCTTTCTTTCCTCTTATCATCCTTTAGCTACTTTTCTTTTTATTTTATTCACCCACCTCTCTTCCTCTGTCTGTCAGTCTATTTCTCCCTTTCCTCTCTTTCTCTCTCTCTCTATCCCTCCCTCTCTGACATCAATCACTTCTCTCTATCCTCATTAAATGGTTTAGTTGCAAGTTGCAACAGATACTCAATCATAAACAGATTTCAGCTGCGTGAGAAAAAGAGTGCAAATTAACCATAAGCAGACAAACTGAAAAACATCTAATGACAGGAAACTTAGTTTTTGAGAAACAAGCATAAAACATTATAGGTTCACAAAACAAAACAAATAATCATTCCTCATAGAGATTGATAAAAACTGTAAAATCACTATAGAAATATGTAGACAGTCAAAAGATTCTGAAGACCATATGAGAATAAACCCAAAAACGCCAACAGTGGATAAAAATGGGAAATACCAAAATGCATAGAGAGACCTAGAAGAATATGGACTGACAACATGAAATGTCACAACATTAGAGCATATGAAGAAACCGAGCATGACATGGCTTGGCTACCTGCCATCCTATAAACTCTGACACCTGATGACACAAAGCAGATACTGACCCAAAAAAAAGAAAATGGGAAGGAATAAGAAAGAAAACTTGGTGATAACTAGCATGCTTGATAGAAAAAGAACAGAGGGAAGATAAAGAGATGATTACCTTAATGATCTGGCCATCATAACATAAGTAATATTAAGAGAGATAATTAACTAAAATATCTAGGAATTATTTGACAGGAGTCTGTCTTTCAAATACCACAGGTGGGAGAGTTAGTGATCAAGATAGGGACTAGACTAGACTCAATGCTTTGAAGGAGATGGCATCAATAGACATGGAACAGAAAATGCTCTTCACACTCTACCAGCAACTGTTATTCCAGTGATGGAGTATGGTTTGGGACTGCTAACATTATCTCATACCCAAACAGAGAAACTCGAATGCAGGCCAGGCAAGTCATTTTGGGATGTACATAAGACATGCCGGTTGTGTGTATACACATTGATTTGCCATCTGTATATGAAAGATATACAGGTGAAAATGTACCTTAAAGTCACATTGAACAGGCAATACTGTATGCATGGGACCTTAAAGGATAGCAAGGGACAATGGCTTTAAGGTGATTGCTCTTGGATAGCACAGGCAGAAGTCCTGTGTGGGGACTGTAGTCTTTATTTTCTGCATGTGGTAGATGAGCCTGCAGTGTCCTGTTCTTAGATAAAAGTTGTATGTTGCTTTCTGATGAGTCTGCTGATGTGGTCCTGTGGATGTTTACTGTTGGTTTGTTCTCTGTTGTTTATTCCTTGTGTTTTCTTTGATAAGTGTTTTGATTTGTGGTAATGAGAATGAAGGGATGTGCTGTTGAGAAGAAAGAATGCTTGAAAACAGAGTGTCACGTACAATATCACAACATCCAGTATGAGAATCAAGGTTGAGGCAGTAATGGCAGCTTTCCAATGGCATGAGAGCAGCACAGCCCAACATGTTGTAACAGACTCACAGAGCAGGCTGTAGAAAACTGAAACTGGCATCCTGCACACACAGGGGTTTGCAGCATGTGATAAGACACAGACCAGGAACATATCATGGATTTTCTGTCCAGGATATTCAGGTGTTTGAGGAAATGAGCAGGCTGATAGATTAGCTTCTGCCACTCCTCTGCACATGAGCTACTTTATGATAAAGCGGATGCAGTGAAGGCTCTATGGGATGAAATGGACAGTGCAATAAAACAGACTAAGAATCCAATTACTAAAAGACTAATTCAAAAAGGGAGGAGTAGGGGTGAAGAGGTATGGAAGATATTCAACACTGAAAATTGAGGCAGATTTTTAATCAGGTTGCAGCTGGTACTATTAGCATGTCAACTCTTCATTGGCTACTTATGAAGGGGACAGAGCATGTGTGGGAATGTCAGTTCGTGATTCATTCATTCATTCATTTATGATTTGGCCACTCTGTTTGTGTACGACAAAACAACTGACCTGATCCATGGTTTTGGTGAAAATGTGGGATGGTGAGCCATGTTGGTCTATGTTTACTGGCATAACACTTGATGATGATGATAGCAACACATTAGTATCTATAAATACTGAAAATGGTAAACTTACAAGAGTATATTTATGTACATCTAAATGAAATACAATGTCATGGAACTTGTGGGATGCAGCAAACTGACGAAGGGTTTGTCCATTCTGTTTAGGAAACAAAACAAATTATATTACCTCCAAAAAAACATATATTTGTATTATTACTGGCTCCTCTTGGTAGTGAATTACTTTATGATATAGATCAAGTGGGCAGAGCAATGGAGCAGAGTATCTAGGCTTTAAAAGGTTGATTCAGCAGGGAGTATTCAGGGGTACAAACAGTGTTCAGTGTACAAAAGACAATAGGACTTTTAACAAGTATCACTATCAGTATTGGAACTGCTTAAACAATTCTTGATTCACGCATTCATATTTTAACATATTATTTCTAAAGAATAATTTACTGTAAACAGATAAAAAAAATTATGTGTTAACACATGTTATTACATCAACCAGAATAGAATGGAAGTTGTTAGCCTAAAACCACTTGGAGACATACTCAGAAGGAGAACGGAGTGCTTATTGACATACCTGATGATGATGATTTTTAAAATTAACAATGAATAGTGTTTTGTAACTAAAGTTGTTTTGTTTAATAAAAAGAACATGTGACACAAAATAATGCAATCTATACAACTGGCTTAAGAATAAAGACTTCTCTCCAGAAAATAAAGTTAAAGGTTTCTACACAACACAAAGACTTTTCATTTTTACAATGCAAGGACAACATGTTTTTATTACATGCAGATCTTATTTTCAGAGTATGAAAATTTCTCCACTCCAGAAATAAGAATGGTAACAAACATAGACAAAGCTAATGAAAGTAGATCTGTATATACAACAATAAGAAAGAGACAAACACGGTTCTTTGGCTACATAATGAGAAGAGAGACATTGGAAAACATCGTGACAATTGGAAAGTTCAGTGGAAAAAGGGAAAGAGGCAGACCAAGAGAGTAGATGCTGGATGGGCTGAAACGATGACATGGAGGAATATCCTTAAGAGCTGTTCCAAGCAACCAGGGATCGTGTTCTGTGGAGATGCATGAGCGACTACGCAAGTTGGCAGGGCACATGATGATGATTATGATGAACATAGACAAGAAAATAACAGAGAATTCCAAAAAGAGAGAAAAGACTCAACCTGTGGGAAAATTTAACGCATTTTTCTTCTTACTTCATACTTTTAAACCCAATTTATATATCTTCTTCTTCTCCATGTTCACGAGCTGTAAACACTGGTGAACAATTCTGGATATTTATACACCTCTAGACGTTAGTCTTGATCCAGACATGATTGTTGCATATACATCTATTTCACACACCTGGTTTAACTGTATGGGGACTCTTGGTTCCATGCCTCTCAGGTAAATTTACCCCCCCCCCCCCCCCCCCCCCACCACCACCACCACCGGAATGAGGTCCCCAGGTTCCACACAGCACTACGTAATCTTCTTCTTCTGCATTAAGATACTATGTTGTGGTTAACACTTAGGCTGACATATGCACTCTTTGGTTCCACACATCAGCAAACCCCTAATTTCTCGCCTTTGATGACATGATTGTTACTGGCAGTGTGTCAATTATTTTTTTTCCGAAATGGGACCCTGAACACACACAGGGACTATTTCAGCTGGGAGGCAAGGTAAGAACATATACATCATCATGGAGGTCAAGACACTGTATCTGACTGCTCGAGCAAACATTCGGTAGATACTATGCAAAACAGAAGTGAGAAGAAAAAGTGATGAAATCACAGCTGTCTACAGCCTCTTCTTCTTCTTCTTCTTCTTCTTCTTCTTCTTCAGGCTCACATTCTGTGAACTCCAGTGGAAAGTTATGGTTATCCCTCCAGTTCTGGACTTAAGTCTTGTTCCAGAACTTTAGTTTTGCATGCATGTCCATTTTACAGATCTGGCTTATTGGTGTGCAGCAGGTTGGTTCCTCGTCTCTCAGGGAGACATACTACAACTGAAGGAAATCTCTAATTAGTTTACTTTTAAAACATACATGTTAGGGAGCAGTGGGTCTATTCATTCTCACCTCCCCCCCCCCCTAATCACCTCACAATGGGGTCTGGAACCCACATGGGGTTGCCTGCAGTGCAGCCATAAAATACCCCTCCAACACAAAAGAATTGACCTAAATCCCTGTGCTGGCATGCCAGTACATAATCTGTTATGACTCAACACAGAAAAAAATCAAACCATCTTACCCTGCATGAGTCAACTCTGGACCAACAATGAAGCAGATACAAAACCTTGTCAATGTCATGGCTGGCAACAGCTTCAAATATCCCTGGCTGAGTGTAAACCACAAGTAAAGGGCACAGTTGATTTTACTGGTGCATCAGGCATATGTTGCTATAGACTTATATTCTTTTAGACAAACTGGTCCTTGATGGGTGATGCGGTCAACATCACACCAGATGCCTTTACTTCCCAGGACTGATACTCCTTTTAGGCTGGGTCAACCTGGGAATGAATTCTTGAGGGTGGGGGGGGGGGGGGGGATGGGGAAAGGATCCGACCTCATGTGGATTCAGGTTTGCAACAAGGAGTGTCTAGCCATTACACCATCATGACTCTGAGCTATGAAGAAGATCGTTTTTAATAGAAAACAAAAACAAAAGTTTACTTATGATACTGTCATGTAGCAGGCCCTTTGCAGAACCATCCACCCATAATAAACCACCAGAAGACTTTCAGTCCCCTGTAAGTTCACCTGCCTCATGTTTCATGTCCACCCTCTGGCATAATATTACTGTGTTTGACTCCAAATCAGAAGATTTGGTGTTCAAATCATGTTGGGGTCAGCAACAATTTATAAGCTGAAAGTCTGGTGCAGGCCTGTAAGTGTTGTTGGCAAATTCTGTGACTGCCTTACAAATTGACTTTGCTAGAGCGAGCTTCAAGATTTTGATGGGACTGACATATTTTTTTTTTCACTGGTTTTCAAATGGAATAGTGAAGGACATTTTGAGTGATTTTCTCTGGCACAGAAAAGGAACAGTTTTGGGGCAACCGACCTGCAGTGAAGCTGGAGTCTCAACTAACTGTGTCAACTACCTGGAGTTCCTGCCTATTCGTCTAGAAACTGTGCCTTCTATTACTGTTTTTTTTTTTAAAGCAATGTGGCTTTTAACAAGCCCAAATTATTTACAAAAAATTTAAAAAATAAAAAAAATACATAATTCTGTTGTTTACAAGTCACGTTTTTCTATGTTCAAATATTGTACTGGAAATAAACACACAAAAGGGGGGGGGGGGGGGGGGTTTGGTGGGAAGAAAGGTAGAGAGGGAGGAAACAATGAAGGTAAAAAGGAATCATTAAATATTATAAACAGATATTTAACAAATGATTAATTATGATGGCCTTAAACAAATTTCTTCTCCTTCTACATTCACCATTAAAAGGGCAGCTGGCATGCTGTGTTGTGGTTTACAGCTAGGCTGCAATATCTGCACCTTTAACCATACTATATGGGTACTAGAGAATTTACAGGCAGTAAAGGTAGCCAGTAAGATACTGATTACACAACAATTGAATGCTGATTGGTCTGTGTAACAAATTTAGCTAAGATCATAATACTCAGTACACCACATAGAGTGGATAACATTTGTTACATTTACTTGCATACTTTCTTTTATATTAGAAACAAACCAACTGTAAGTAAGCGGGACATGAATGATACAGGCATTGAGGTGGATTCCTGGGAATAGGATGCAGTGGACCATGTTGCATGAAGGGGGAAATTAAGTAGATAAAATGAGGAGAGGGGGGGGGGGGGGGGCATGGAAGAGAAAATGACTGCAAATAAATTCAGAGCTGAGCATCTGAAAAGAAGCATGTTAATTAGAGGTAGTCGCAACAATGATCCTGGAATCCTATATTCTAATTTAGGGAGACTTGTCTTTATGTAGGCTAGTTGTAGTCATTGTCGTGGGCTGTGATTCTTATGCTTCCCTATAGCATAATATATCTCTATAGTCTGGAAAGACAGAAAAGTTCCCATCCCCCCCCCCCCCCCCACCCCACCCCACCCCGCCCCCAATGTAAACAGCTTGACTGATTTCCACGCTAACGTTACCTGATATTTGTCATAAATGCTTTTCCAAAACTTATTCCTTGTGTGAAGCTCAGCAGCTGTCTTCCCATCCTGCAAAAAATCATTAAAAATATTTTTTGTTTCCACATATAATAGACAGTCGTCATTTTTTTGGTTACATTATGAGAAGAAAGAAGCTGGAAAATGTTGTGACAAGTGGAAAGATTTATTGAGAGAGAGACAGAGGAAAACAACATAAGAAGATTCTTTATAGCCTTTTCTTAACCCAAGCACTATGAGAAGACTAAATCTTGTCATTTCTGGTTGTGACAGGATCAGTAGTTAAACTGCATTGGTCTTATGTGCGCCTGTGCAGTGTTTAATTAATGCTCCAGGCCCTTAAAAGTAGTAAACCTCCTCACCTGAGATCTGAACTTGGCAAGGTGGCTGCCCAAAAGTCTACTGTACTCGGGTGGGTGCCATCTCACTGTGGTATACCAGGAAACAAAACCACGGTTTAACTTGCTAAGAAAGAGGCAAAATGTGAACAGGAAAAGAATGCAGTAACATACTATGAGAAGAAAAGGGTTATCAAGTCTATCAAAAGTGATCAGAGTCTGGGTCAGAGATGACTACCTCTTACTTGACCAGAATGCCTTAGGACAGAACATGACAAAACAGGCATATGCACAGGCTTTGGTCTAAGTAGTTTACCATTGTGCCCTTGTGGGCTATGTGTGCGGACTACAGAACATGTCCTGCAAGAGTGTCCATTGTACGGCCCATTAAGAAGGTTATACTGGCCCAAAGAGTCAACGCTGTGCTCAGAATTATATAGAACTAAAAAGGAACTCCTAAAAACAATCAAGTTTATCACAAGAACTTGTCTGTCGATGTAAATCAGAAAGCAAACACAAGAAGAAAAAAGAAGCAGGTCCATTAAAGAACATCACTCTAACTGTGGCACACCTGCAAGTTTCTCTTTCTGGAGCCAGTTCTCCAGCTTCCCCTTCATTTTCTAGAAACCATTACCTCCATCACCTTCCCAGTTCACAAGATATGATTTTCTTTCCTCAGTGACTGAGTAAGACTCACATTCATAAACTGCAACGGAAAAGAGCCACGATCTCCACTTGCTTGCAGGTTCTGAACCACAGGTTCTTCATCGCTAAAAGTGTGTCTTTTTCTGACTTCTTTTGAGCAGTTGGCACTGTCGTTCACTATTCAGCCTAAATACTCAGAATCTGCAAAAAATTTTTAATCTCTTCCTTACTGATTTTTAATTATTTAATTTTTGATTTCAAATTCAGAAAAATATTTTCACTCTGCTTTTTGGCCGTCAAATTTAGTTCTTTTAAGCTTGGTACACTGTTGGAAAGGAGAACTATGTTGTCTGCCTATCTGCAATCTGGGATTTTTAGCCTCCAATTGTGAGTGGATCAAAACTGTCATAGGCCTCATTCCTAATTACATTTCTTATAATATTTTCAGCATATGTGCTGGAGTGTGAATGCATCCCTGTCTTTACTCCTGTCTGCACCTCAACCAAGTCTGATGTTTCCCCAACTACTCTGACTGCTGCTTGCTATATACTGAATATACAGGGCTCAAATAGGGAATACAAAGATCATTTATAGGATATACAGATATTCTTATAGGATTTACAAAGATCACTATTTCTATATTTTTTTTTAAATCAGATTTACATTGTTTCTGATTGTGGGGTCAATTCCGGCAGATAACAGATCTCCAACATGGCAGCACTCATGGTGTAAGGCAGTGACATGGAGAGCTGTGTTTCCATGCTGTAACATACACAATAAATATTCTTTCTTTCATAGGTGTCGCTGTTTATGCTATATCTGCAAGTCAAATATAATAAACATATTATATTATATATTTATTATATTATTATTGTATATTATTTTATTATATTATAATTATACATTATATTAAATATATTATTTTAAATATATATATATATATATATATATATATATATATATATATATATATATATATATTATATATATATATATATATATATATATAGCGCCACTACGGATTGTAAAAAATTATAGCAGAAGGCATGGTAACAGGAAGGAGGTGCAGGAGCCGACCGACACGAAGATGGGCACAGGATATGAGTGACTCCTTGAGTATGAAAGTACATGAGGCGTGAGAGCTGGCAAGAGACCGAGTTTTTTTCAGGCAGACTGTGGTGAGAGCGAGGTTCTGCAAAGGACCTACTACATGATGATGATGATATAAAATAAGTGTGTGTGTACGCACGGGCAGGATTGCACATGAGTGGGTGTGTATTCATGTAAATGCAATGCATATCTCACTGAAACAACATGTCTGAGAAAAGCTGTGAGAGTGAACAAAAGAGTTCAGATGAGTTGAGAACTGACCTCACAGCACTTGGGACATTCCAATACATACCATGTCCTCATCTTCAGCAGCCAGCAAAGGGTTCCATTCCGACTGTACCAGCAGCGGTTTGATTAAATGTATGTCTTATCTTTGTTCTGATCATCCTCATCAACAGGTTCTTTACAGAACATCGCTCTCATCACAGCATTTCTGAAAGTCTCTCTTTCTCTAGCCAATTCTCTAGCTCTATGTAATTTCATAGCCAGAGTTCATTGTTCATTTGGATATGACCATAAGTGTTCCGATCTCCTCATGAGTATGTCTCCAAGTGTTTTTAGGCTACCAACTCCCATTTAAAAGCCAATGCATCTTTAATGTCTTGTAACCACCATCACAGAGGTCAGCTTCTACCTCATTTCCCAGAAACTGTACCCTCCATCACCGTTCTCTGCAGGCCACAATAACATTTAGCATGGACTAAATACCTCAGCTTTTGGCACAGGATGCTTTTTTGAGCCCATTCTCCTGGATGCTCACATCATGTAGGATGTCAGTGTTTTTTTTTTTTCTTCTTCTTGGTCCACAGTATTCTGAGAATTGTTAGGGTTGGGGGGAGAGGAGGATGTATCTGCTGAGGATTTATACTGGACCACTGTGTTTGACCTCAAGCATTTAAAATAAACTGTCCACCATGTGGTTCCAGGGCTCCATTTGGTTGGGAGGAGCACAGCCCCACTACCCCTCTTCTTCTGTGTTGTGATTTACAGCTTGGCTGTGATATCAGTAAAAAAAAATGAGACAGTTAAAGTTTGATGGTCAATGATTGCTTTCTACAGGCAGTAAAAAAAACAAAATACAATAATAAGCACTTGCAGATGAGATCCACAATAGAATATGAAACAAAGAAAACAAAGTATGCTTTACACATCACTGGTATTTCAAATATGTGGTGCTATAACAAAGGATGCTTTACACATCATCACTGGTATATTAAACATGTAATACTATAACAAAGGATGCTTTACACATCACTGGTATTTCAAATATGTGGTGCTATAACAAAGGATGCTTTACACATCATCACTGGTATATTAAACATGTAATACTATAACAAAGGATGCTTTACACATCACTGGTATTTCAAATATGTGGTGCTATAACAAAGGATGCTTTACACATCATCACTGGTATATTAAACATGTAATACTATAACAAAGGATGCTTTACACATCATCACTGGTATATTAAACATGCAATGCTATAACAAAGAATACTTTAAACATCACTGTTAGGTCAAACATGTGGTGCTATATAACAAAGGATGTTCTACACATCACTGGTACATCAAACATGTGGTGCTATATAACAAAGGATGTTCTACACATCACTGGTACATCAAACATGTGGTGCTATCAAAAAGGATGCTTTACACATCATTGGTATACCAAACATGTGATGGTATTACAAAGGATGTTTTACACATCATATCAAACATGTGGTGCAATAACAAAGGATGCTTTACACATCACTGGTACAACAAACATGTGGTGCTGTATCTATACTTTTTTAAAGACTAATTGACTGGCAATGTAATCAACATGTTTGCCAGGTTTACGTCCCATGAAATTTCCTAATGTTAATTTTAAACTGGGTCAACCTGTGGTCCCTAGACCAGTTACAAAAATCTGCCTCAGTGTTGATTCAGACTTAAGAGCTTAGGGTTCTCAAAAATAAACATATATATCCACTGTGCTACATTGGCTCTCATATAAAATAAGAGCAAAACCTGTGGCAAAAACCATGTATATTTGCCCCAGAAGTGTCTGAACAGCCCATGGTTTGAATCCATACAGAGGCAGATTGTTTTTTCACCATGCATTGACCATGGCTTCCAGGTTAACCCAGCCCAAACATGGTACCAATGTCCTGGAAAGTCAAGACAGTGGTCATGATGCTGACCACATTGCCTACAAAGTACTGACTGTCTATACACATATCCTATGCCTGCTGTCCCATGATGTGTTAAATAATAAAAACATAAAAAGGGTTGTTTACTTACTAACTGTGAAAGCAAAACACACATACCCTGTTTCTTGCATTGACATCTATTCCAGTTCCTAGAATAATGTGGATGATAATGGGACGATGCATGGTGCAGATGTAGTGCAGGTAAGTATTTCCTTTCTGTGAAGAATATCATTTGAAATATCTCTGAGAAATAGAAATACAAATCAGTCTTAAGCAAAGTTCTTCTTCCTCTTCTTCATGTTCTCTGGCTGCAAACTGTGTGCACATCTGTTTCAGAGATCTGGCCTATCTGTGTGCATTTTGATTCCTTGCCTATCAGACAGATGTACTATGACATGCTTGGGGAGGCAGTGAGTCTATTCTTGTTTTCTCCCAGAATAGGAACCCAGAACCCCCAAGGTGATTAAAGATTATTAAAGTAAATGTACTGTTTACTGCTGCCTCTTCTTCTTCCTTTTCCACATCTTCACAACTCCCCAACCTTTTCCTGCCCTTCCGCATAAGTAAAGTTAAGCTTTCATTTTTAACAGTAAATTAAAACTTTGAGAAATCAATCCTGAACCAGATGTTCATGTCATTTAAAAATTAAAGAATCATAAATGATTTTAAAACAAAATAAATATGCACCCTGTCTTTATGATGTGGATCTTCCTTTTCTTTCAAAGCTGCCCTTAAACCAACAATATCTTTGTTAAATATGGCTTGACTTATCTTTGTCTGCAAAATATAAAGAATATCAGAATCATTATTATCATTGTTTTATCTATATATATATATATATATATATATATATATATATATATATATATATATATATATATATATATATATATATATATATATATTGTGTTAATTCAGTTTAGTGAAAGCTTGAGTACCACTAAAAGACACACACACAAAAGTTTAATGTATTAAAAAAAAATGCCTAAGGAAACTGATAAACATTAAATGGGATGAATTCAAGAAAAATGAAGGCAGAAAAGAAGTGTCTTGACAACCACTGGTATCAACATTTATAAAACAAAGAAGACAAAAGTATACTGGGCACATCTTGAGGAGAAATTGACAGAGAATCCGCAAACAGACATTTAAATGCAAAATGAATGGACTGAGAAAACACGAATGTTAAGAGAAATCCTACGTCAAACGCTGAGACGCATAATATGCCAGACTGGACATATCCATGATATCAAACAGATTGCAGAGGATAGAATGAAAGTAACACTTGACTGCAAGACTTATGTGACACATAATAGTACAGCAAGATGACATACAGATATATGTATAAGCTTCTCTGCATCTTGTGATCTGCAGCAGTATGTATCAGTGTGTGTGTGTGCTGACCACGACAAAAGGCTTCAAGAATCTTTTCACTTTGTCTATTTCCATCTCTTTTCCAGTGATTTTTCCAGTTGTCACATGCTGCAGTTTCTATTTTCTTATAATATGGTTTTCAAAAAAATATGAGTGCTCCTTTCCTATGTTTGTGATAGTGTCTCCAGGGATTAGCCTCTTTCAAAACATCTCATTTTGCTTCTAAGGTAGTTTAGCATTCTTCTGAAAAATCGTATTTCTGAAACTTAACTCTTTCAGTCCCAGAAGTTCATAGCTAATGCCTGAGTGAGGTAGTGAGAAAAGCAACAAAATCATAGCTGTTCTACATCCACAGGGTCTAACTGCACAATCCAGGTGTATTGCTGGCGGGCCTGAGTATGACCTGACTAATTATATGATGTGAAAACATAGAGAACATATTCACTGTTGCACATTAGTAATATCCAGCCACTCATGGTGCATTGTTTGGGACTTACAGAGTTAACCACACACACAAAATATTTGACATGTACTAACTATTATGATTTACAACGATATGTTAAAACTGCTTCTATATGGCACATATATAGTATATCACACATATGTCTGGGTTTATATATTCTAAAACTGATACAGCCCTAATAGTGCTCACAAAATATACATAGTTCTTTCACTACATCTAGATTTCTTTTAAATAAAAATAAAAAACAAAACAAAACTAAACAAAACCAGAACAGCTCTAACCATATTTTTAAAAATATATATTTCTTTATTACATTCCCATTGCTATAAGGTATACAATTTACGATTAATACTTTAATTTATTAATAGGTTCTGGATGATTTATAAACAGACCAAACAATTTCTTAAGGCCTCGGAGATGTGGTTTTACTGAAGAATCCTTAGACAGTTTTAAAAAAAAAAGGAAAAAAGAGCAAATCAGATGTTCTGGATGAGGTGAGGGCTCGATTACATCTTATCACAAACATCAGAAAGAGATAGTGATCATTTTTGGGCCATGTTATAAGAAGAGGGAAACAAACATGTGACAACTGGAAAGATCTGTGGAAAGAGACAGAAGAAGACAGTGTCAGAAGATTCTTGACAGCCTTTTGTCTTGGCATGGAGGGGTGTCAACACACAAACTGATACAGGCAGTGTGGATTTTAGATTATTGAGAGGCATGATGTAACAGGGAGAAGTAATCACGTGTTTGTTGGGAGCTAGGTTATTGCGCAGAGTTATGATGTACCGGAAATCAACAAGTTTTGGCAGCCCTGACATTCTTTTCTAGAAACTCTGTTTGTTATTAACAGAGAAATTTTTTGCAAATGAATAATCTATAAACAGTATTTTACGTCATTGTTGATGTTCCCTATCAAAGTGAACGCAGTTGCATTGGCTTTCTAGAAGTTTCTACAGGGACAGCTGTCAATTTAACTACTAAATTTGCACAGAATAAGATGATGAAATCTGATGCAATCGAGATATAATTAGAAAATCTCACAAGAAAACGCACATAGTAAACATGTTGAGACATACTAGAATATTCTAGAAGCAGAAAAAGTGAGAAGAAAACAGATAACTAGCATTCCAGCATCCAAGTATAAATAATGAATGAGAAACCACTTTGGTCAATTCTTCAGAGGGGAGGGACCAGTCATATTGACCATCAAAGAATGCCTTCAGTCGTTGAGACTCAGAGGATGAGCGACTAATCTCAATGATGCTCACAGTTGTGGCAATGCCAACTCAACACTAGAAGGAGAGGAGCCAGTCATATTGAGCCTTGAAGACAGTCACTAGAGAGCAAACATGAAACGAGACAACGAACTACAGAGACGACATAAAAGATACATGGATCCATGGTCAACGGCAACACATTAGTTAGGAACACTATTGAGATGTTAGAGTCGACCATCAAGCCATTAGTACCAAACAGCACTAGAAGCCAGGTGGCAGTTAGAGACACTAGAACCAGTTAACAAAGTACCAGCACCTTTTTCAAACACTTTGTAGTGAGTTTTGATATCCTTATATTTTCTATAAAAAAACTCCCTGGCTCTAATAGTACTCAAAAAGTGTACAGGTTCCTTTGTCACATTTACATTTCTATAATAAGGACAGTTCTAAATTAATGAGAAAAAAAAATAATAGTTCCTTAATTACATTTACTTTTCTATAAAAGACATCCAACTGTCAGTACTAAAAAAATACAGTTTAAATAAAGCACAACAAATGGAACGATGGCATCATGAAAAACTTTAATGAAATGGAGATCAACGTACACAGTGCATGAGGAAGAGCATACAGCATACCGGTCATCTTTGTATGCCCCAGTCACTTGGGAAGACAGAGGAAGAATATGTTTACCCTGCCAACAGACATCACCCTCTACCAGGGATGTCATCAAAACAAGTCAAGGGGCCCCTCAGCCCTGTATAATTTCTAGTGGGCGAGGGTGAGGGCCTCAGGGTTAAACCTCAAGTGCCCAGCAATAACAATAACAATACAAGTTATTATTATTAGAGTATTTATTATTATTATTATTATTATAACATATGTGTGATAATGTGATATTTGTAAACAAATATACAGCACCACTGGTACTCACAGTCTCCTTTTCAAACATGATCCCAGCCATAATGGTGAGTTGTATATTGTGGCCTTTATGCAAAACAGTTCAAGTCTGTAATTTGTTACTGTGAATAAAAAAAATAATTCATGTTAGAAATAACTCTATTGCAGACATATTTACACAACAACAAAAGTAACAATATATTCATAATTATGACTTGTTACTTGTTGTTCATATCAACATCCTAGCACATTAGTCTGAACCATTCGTGCTCTGTCCTTCAATGCAGCAACCATCTTAAGTGTCTTTATGCTCAACGTACACAGTAAGAGTTCATTGGCATATCTTCTGTCTTTGCCCCACAACTGGTTTCTGCATGCTTGTTCTCATTTAATACCAATTTCCAACAGGCAGTTCAACAGATCTGACTCCTTTGTTGCAATATCTCTGAAATGTTGCACATTCAGGACATCTGTCCTGTTCATACTTCTTCCTCCACTAACTACAGCAAACACAGATGCTCTATCAGCTCTTTCATTTTCACTCACATCGATGTTGTCTGGTGTAAACAGCCAAGAAAGTTTCTTGAGGCAGTGCTTATGGATGCTCTCAACTCATTGTAATCAGAATTTGCCAGTTTGGATTTTCCTAATGAAGTTCAGTGAATCTGTCATTATCACAATGCTTTCTGTTCCACCAGCCATGCAAGTACCCCTGTGACAGCTGCTGTCTCCATCGTCATCCAAGAAGTAGTTGAACTGAATGCCTGATAGTCTTCTTTCACTGTCTTTACATTCGCCTGCACCCCATGGATCACAGAGCCATCTGCATAGATGATGATGTTTCCTGGTTGAGTGCTTACATGTGAGGGTTCTTACGTCAGCATCAACAGCTGTTTGTCTTCTTTTCTGCAATATCTGCCTAGGGTGACTCTGATCTCAGTGTTTTCCTGACATTGCTCTAGCGTTTCTATCATTTCAGCATCAAACCCGACGTGATCCAATGGGAAATTTAGCTAATGTTGTTCTCTGCTTCTGCCATCCACAACCATCCCCTCTTTAGGTGCTTAGCTTTGTACATCTGTAGGCCGCTGTGCAGAGGGTGTTTTATGCCAGCAGCAACACCCAGATATGCCCTCTCCTGGTCTATATCATGTCTAGTGACCATGTCTGGCAGGTCGAGGATGTATCACGCGGTGTAGTACGAAGTGTCTCTTGTGCACACAAGAATTAGTCTCATGGCTTTCTTTTACACTTTCTCTAGTCTCCCCAGCTGATTGTGAGGAAGCCGAGCTCATTTGTATTTATGCTTTACACAATGAGAAATAGATATGGGGATGAATATAAAAGGAGTGGAAAGGGGGGAGGGAGTGTATGATGTTAGAGAAGACTAAAGCAAATGAAGTAAGAGTTGATTTATGTGAGTTGATTGAGTGCCTATGTTTGAGCAGAGAAAAAAATATCAAATGAAGAAATAGCTTTTAATAGTACTATTAGTGAATAAATATAGAATTCATATTACTATTATTAGTCACCGAGGAAGGGCGAGCACTTCAACCCGATATTATCATCATCATCAGTTCTCGTTATGCCTAGTGGCACATGAGGCTTCAGAGAGGACTTTCCATGCTTTCCTGTCCTGTGCAATCTTCAGTGCAGTTTTCTATGTCATAGATGCCGCACTCAGGTCACTTTCCATCGTTCGTCTCCATGTTGTTTTTGGGGGCCCCTGTTTTCTCTTTCCTTCTGGTGTCCATGTGAGAGCTGTTTTGGCGGGTATATCAGGATTCATTTTCATAACATGGCCAAGCCATTTCCATCTTCTCTTGGTTATCATACTGTCTAAAGTTTCTTAGTTTGTGACTTGAAGTAGTTTAGTGTTTGAGATTGTATCTGGCCAGAAAATTTTGATAATTCTACGTAGACATGTGTGGTGTAAGGTGGACAGCTTGTGTGCATCCTTTTTAGTCATTCTCCAGCATTCCGCTCCATAAAGAAGAACTGGCAAAATAATGCTCTTGTAGAGTTGCAGTTTCGTTCCTCTGCAGTAATTGTTGGATTTCCAGATTTGCCTCATCCTTCCAAAAGCAGCTCTAGCTTTGTTCAGACATGACTGTATGTCCTCTTCGGTCCCTCCAGGCAGGGACACCATACTGCCAAGATATGTAAAATGTTCTACATTTTCAAGAGTTTGGTTATTTACGGTCACTGGTTGTTGGTTTGGACTGCTTGTCATGATCTTAGTTTTCGTTGTATTTATTCTCAGTCCCACCATTTCTGCTGTGTTGTGTAGTCTGTTACTTTTTTCTTGTATATGTTCATGTTTATGTGATAGGAGTGCTAGTTGAAGTTCGGAGGAGAGCCCTAGGAATGAGAATCTACACATCAAGATGAACTGAATATTGAAAAGGGTTGGCTACTAAAGACGACAAAACACCGAAAATTGAAATATGTTGGTCCCTTGAAACGTCACAAAAGTTTGCAGAGGTAACAGAACGATAATGGAAGGGTATATACTATATGTCTGGGAAGAGAGGAAGAAGACAACCAAAAAGAAGATGGGTGCAAAATGTGGCGGATGATCCCCAGATGGGTGTATTGGACGTATATATTTATAATAATTCTTTAAGAATGTAATTTGGGAAAGAGAGATAGTCTGAATATTCTAGAACGATTAAAAATAACTTAGCAGCTGTTTAAAAAAAAATATCTCACTTAAACGTGATCGTTCAAATCTCAAGAGTTTCTAATCTTCAGGTGCCCAGGCTTCCCTAGTAACCAACCACAGACTGCGCAATAACATTTCGCACACAGAAGAGCTTCAAAAATGGGGACTTTAACCACGGGTCTGATGACAGTTTATGACGGAATTTATTCCTTGCAGTTCACTATAGATATTTCTTATGTTTGTATTGCATTGCAGTTATCTAAACCGATGTTAAATTAGATACGGTATATGATTTTGAAACCCTGATTTGAATTTTGACTACGTGTTTTACAAATCGCTTTCTCTCTTCAGCTTCAGATCCCACAGGGTAGCCGGAAGTCACATTCGTTTAAATAATAATTAATTAATATATAAAGAGAAAACATCAGTGAATAATAAAACACATTCAGACATTGAGTTAACACACGTTTATAAACAGAGTGAGCGACAGATTTTGAAAACTAGGCGTGGACATCTGAGTTGTACAAGGTAGCAAGATTTAGAACGAAATGGGTTCCGATCAAAGTAGCCTTCCAGCTGGGGTACCTGGCAGCAGTTTGAGATCTCAGCGTGATGAAGAAATCCCCTACACTCAGTATTCTATCAGCAAACCCATTGATTCGCGTAAGTATCCCCATACTAGTGTGTTATCGTCTTCTTTCCCAGCAGACTATTGCATTAACACGTAGTGAATGTTGGAATTCTGTCATGTTGGTTGTAGTTTACAGTTAGGCTATAATCATGTTTGCGTCTTTCTCCCATCACATCTGACTTTACTACATCCTGAATTACTTACTCTTACTGTAGGCTTTTTAAGGTGTAGTAGGTCTATTCTCTTCACCCCAAAAAGTGGTCCCTGTGGAATCATGTCACCAATTACTGGAAAGATGTTCAGTGTGTCATTTAAAAAAAAAAAAAGCATGCATCACTGATGGCTATAAGATATCAGGAAAAAGATATAAAATCAAACTAACAGTAAATCAGCGAGCTTCACAATGTAACAAACACCAACAAAACGTGAAACAGCTATGTAATGGAGCCTTCTTCAGCACATACACTGATTGAACAAAACTACACAAACACACAATATCACTTACCTTCGTATCTCGTGGCAGCCAGGTCGATGTCGAGGTAATGGTCTGCTATAAAATGCAACCATATAACAGTGTTTAATATGTGTGATTTTCAAAGAGAGCAAGAGGTAGACAATGTTTCAGAAAGGGAGAACAACATCAAGAGATGGATGAACAGCAGTTCAAGAGAGTGTAAAACCTAGACAAGAAATATAGCATGCTGGAGATCCACTGCAGCCAAGAGATGGATGAACAGCAAGAGGTAGACAATTTTAAAGAAAGGGAGGACAACATCTAGAGATTGAACAACAGCAGTTCAAGAGAGTGTACAACCAAGAAACCAAGACAAGAAATATAGCATGTTAGAGATGCACTGCAGCCAAGAGATGGATGAACAGCAAGAGGTAGACAATTTTACAGAAAGGGAGGACAACATCTAGAGATGGAACAACAGCAGTTCAAGAGAGTGTACAACCAAGAAACCAAGACAAGAAATATAGCATGTTAGAGATGCACTGCAGCCAAGAGATCGATGAACAGCAAGAGGTAGACGATTTTACAGAAAGGGAGGACAACATCTAGAGATGGAACAACAGCAGTTCAAGAGAGTGTACAACCAAGACAAGAAATATAGCGTGATGGAGATGCACTGCAGCCAAGAGATGGATGAACAGCAAGAGGTAGACGATTTTACAGAAAGGGAGGACAACATCTAGAGATGGAACAACAGCAGTTCAAGAGAGTGTACAACCTAGACAAGAAATATAGCATGTTGGAGATGCACTGCAGCCAAGAGATCGATGAACAGCAAGAGGTAGATGATTTTACAGAAAGGGAGGACAACATCTAGAGATGGAACAACAGCAGTTCAAGAGAGTGTACAACCTAGACAAGAAATATAGCATGTTGGAGATGCACTGCAGCAAGCCTTCACTATGGATATGACACCTGACTGGTTGACTGTCAAAAGAAAAACATTTACCAGCACATTTTGGAGTCACAACAGTCATCACCAGTTTCTGAGGCTTTTAAAAGAAGCACAGAAAAGTAGTTCTGAAACCTACTATGTACAAAGTGCTTAATATTAATTAGTTTGAGGCCTATGCCCCATTGAAAGATGAAAGACAGAAGAAGATTGTGTTTTCTTTTAATACTATTATTTATTTTATGATTCTGTAATCTGGCAGGGAAAGATTTGTAATTACTTTATGGTTTTTTTTACTAGATTCTCCACGTCAGTCTCCTCGACCTCAAAAACCGCAGAGACCTGTTGTTAAGCAAGACAAAGATGGCACCCCGAAGCATGAAATTGTTGTTGTTGCTGATGGTTACATTCCTGTTAAGGATCCCGATCCTGAACTGACAAAGCTGAACACCATCCCTGTTTTCTTCCCAATCATGAGGTCATCGCTGAACTTTCCCAATGGAGGTAAAGAGGTCGATATTCTTGACAAGCTTGATCATAAACAGGTATGGTATTTATTTTTTGTGCTGATATTAACTATGAAATATGTTTAAGCTGTATTCCATAACATCCTGGCTGTGTTATGCCAAGAAATATAGTATGTATGTAACAATTTTGCGGTGTTCGTGGGGGGGGGGGGGAGGATTGGGTGTCTGTCAGCCAGCCTGAGGCTTTAAGGCCATCAGTGCTATCCCCATGGACAATGTAGGTCAGGATTCCCCCCCCCCCCCCCCCCCCCCCCCCCCCCCCCCCCCCCCTCCGACAGAAAACGTCTACAACCTGACTGAGGATTTGAAGCTGGTTCTCTTGCATCAAAGCCTAGCATTCTTAACCATTTATGGCCGGAGTGTATTACTCAGATTTTATTTTTAGTCATAAGTAAAGCCAAAGTCGAGTTTTAAAGGTCCAGTATAAGTAAAGGACATTTTCACACTACTGACACGTCAGGCACTTGCTGCTAGATGCACATATTTTTTTTTCTTCAAAAAGGCCCACTGCTTTCCTTAACATGCGTGTCGTAAGAGGCGACTTATTAGGTATTTGCTGAAATTGAAGCCTAGCTGTAAACCACAGTACAGTGGGTCAACCACCCTTTAAAAAATGAAAACAGAAGAAGAATAAGAAGACTACATCAGGGAGCCTTAGTTCAGTTATAAAAATCCACCCCAATGTGGATTCAAATCCAAAACCTTTAAGCCAGTAGATAAGATTCTAGGCACTAAACAATTTATCCTCTTTTTCGTGTTTACCAGCTGTAAACTCTTGTGGAAAGTTCTAGTTGTTATCCATTTCTTGTACCAGAACCTGAGTTTGCTTGCATGTCCTTTATTTTTTTTTTTAAACAGATCTGGCTCATCTGTATGCAGACTATTGGTTCCATGCCTCTCAGGCAGTGCACTCTGACTTTGAAGGAAACACCCATAATTAGTCTACTTTTAAAACATGCTTGTTGAGGTAGGTGGGGGGAGGCGCAGAGTGTCTACTACTTATTTTTTTTTTTTCTCACAGCGGAGCCCATGCATAATTAGAATAAAAGATTGGAGTAATATGTGTGCACATTGTCTTCAAGATTTGATGGCAGTTATGTTGAGCCATGGTAGTACAGTCACCTGTTGGCCTGATTGAAGATGTCAGGAAGACAGCACATATAAAATAAAAGGGAATATATACATCAAACAACCAGAGACTGCTGACAAGAAACACCTGACAACCTGAACTTAGACAATGATGGAAATGAAAAAAGAAACTAGTAAAACTCATGAAAACTGAAGGGTCCACTAGCAACAGATATATGTTGACTGAGGTAACAACATAATTAGAGGGAAAAAGCAGCAAGTGCACCAATTCAATTCTTTGCTACTGCAAATGGTGTCGCTGTCAGAACAGAGAAGAAAAAAAGAAATGAAAGTTGAACAGGTATGTCACATTAACTCTTTCAGGCCCATGAATTTGTACACAATTGGCCGACATTGATTTCCCTTTACAAAAATGGCTGAGGGGGTGGTGAACAAAAAGGCAATAGAGAATGTAATATACTTCTAAGCACTACAGCAGTTTTTTTTTTTTTTTTAAGAGAAATAAATATTCATTTTGAATATGATAATAAGTGTCTGTTTAATACTGTTGTAGTTGGAAAGAAGTCATAACATATTCCAAATTTATAAAAAGTTTATGGTTTAGTTTAGCATTTAGAGGCTCTAAGTTCTCACAGAGTGCTGAACAAAATTTCAGGGGAAAAAAATGGTAGAAAAATTTACCATTACACACACGCTATTCAATAATTACTTTGTAGTTAGACTGTAGCTGCAATGATTTCAGTGAAGCTTATCCATAGTATGGTACTGTCTAGTTGTTTAGAGCACTTTCCTTCTCTTACACCCTAAATACGTTAGCAGTGAAACACTCTCTGTGTCCAGCTCGTCAGAATCGCTAGATTCTCAAACAGCTGATTGCTTGGCTGCTGCTGCTGGTGTAAATTAACCGTCTGAATCACTTTCCGGAAAATCTAAATTTTCATGGTCCTTATCAGAATTGAAAACATCCTACTGAAACCATTTCCGAGCTTCGGCCACAATAAGACGTATAATGCAACCTGTACTTGTTGTTAGAAAACTAGATTCTACGGGGTCTAACAGGAAATTACAAAATGCAGGGTCTGGAAAGGGATAAGATCAGTTTGCAGCTACACATGGCTAAATAAAGGCTAATATACAAAGACAAATCTTTAGGGTAACCTTCTCTGAATACTTTAAAAGTAGCTGCGAACATTAGAAACAAATACGGAGCCATGTGTGAAGCAATCTGTACCAGACAAGTGATCGACACTCACATTGTTGTTTGGGCCTTGAAGGGTTAACACAAAAATATCAAAACATGGTACAGAAATGAATTTCCTCAGGCATGCAAATGAGTCACACACTTTGTTTACTGATGCTGCCAGGTGCTGCAGCTGTGTCTAAGACACCAGGATCATCTCCGACAGTTAGCAGAGGCGGTGGCATTTGATCAGAATGCTCTGTGTATTCGCATTAAAGAGGTTTGTTTGTATGTTCATTTAATAACTCTCTGTCTGTTTTCCCCTCTGGGTTTCTACCTGAAGGTTTGACCACCTTTCAACTGATACAAGTTAAGTTAAAGTCGAGAGATCAGCTTTATTGTACTTGGCGTTATTCTGTATAGCTCAGTCTCTTTTTGCAGAACGGCTGGCTACATGCTGAGAAGGATGAACTCTAGCTGTAATGATGATCCCCATGAATCTCCAGGAAAACTGCCCTCATGAACTGAATGAAGTGTCTGTGACACATCCCTGCCTAGTCCGGGCTTCAGGTTTCTTCAAATCTTTTAGGGGCCTCACTATAACCTAACAGTCAAAGGGCGCTTAGCAGGATTTGTACCCCTAGGATGTTCATCCTTGAGGTGTTAACCCTGTTGTCTGCAATCCTGCAGGGACAGACTGTAATTTGATGTCTATGAAATGAACCCACGACTTTCAGAGCACGAGGCACACAGCTTGACCACTTTGGCACAGAGGTGGCCGACTCCTGGATTGTAGCCGACTCCTGGATTGTAGCCGAGCATAACAAATCCCAGGTATTTCATTTAATCTCATAAGAAGTTAAAGCATAACGGCTGCACTAAGTACTTTTCCTGGTGCACCCCGCAGTCTAGTTGTTTGTTTGTTGGCACCTTTCTGGGGGTTTTCTGACAATAGTGTTCCATTATGCTATAGCAAACATTCTCAATGGGTGCTCTTAGGCCTGTCCTGGACAATAAATAAAAATTGAACGAAATTGAAGATTGAAAAACAGGAAGCGGAATTTGCTGCCACTAGTTCCAAAACTATTGACAGACAAAGAAAGTGAGCGCAGCTCTCATACACTCTATACCAGGCATGTCAAACTCGTGGGCTGCAAGCGGCCCTTTGCAAGCCCACCTGCAGCCTGCAGAAAGGAAAATTCTGCAATAATTTGTATTAAATGACTCCAATTAGTTGTCTTCTTCTTCTTGTTCACGTTCACCAGCTGTAAACACTGGCGGAAAGTTCTGGTTATTCGTCCACTTCTGAAATGCAGTCCTGTTCTAGAACTTAAGTGTTGCGTGTGTATCCATTTGACAGATCTGATTTGTATGCAGACTGTTGGCTCCAATCCTCTCAAGCAGATGCACTCTGACTTTGAAGGAAGCTCTTAATTAGTCGACTCTTACTACATACTTTTGGGTAGACAGTGGATCTATTCTTGTTTTCCCTATAACAGGGTCCCGGAACCCACACGGGGGAAATTCCAGTTAGTTGTCAAATGTGGCCCTCTTGGCGACAAAATTTGGCCCATATAGCCGGCAGGGAACACTCAGTTTGACAAGCCTTCTCTGTATTATGTGCCCTTCCTGGAACTGAATGTTTTAGTTCAGTAGGCCTAAGATGCTCTGCTAAATAAATAGTATCTAAATAGGGCCTCTACGAGTCAGAATAGTTGGAAATCTCTATAGTATAGGGAGGCATGGAAATCCCAGCCTATGACAATATCTACTGAATTCAGGGTTAAAGTTCCTCATCTCGATATCATATTGAATGGGCAATATTGTAGAGACCATGTGTTGCCCAATCAGCATGATTCCTCACTCAGCCTGCTTTGTTAACTTCAAAGAAAACTTACCACCATTACGTTTGAAACAAAAACATGCTGCTGAAGCTGTTAGATCAGAGGAGCAATGATGTCCAAACAGTTATTCTGTAATTATTCAGTACTTGAATGACTCTTAAGCTGAAATTTTAAAGGGCGTGCATTTTTTTGGTTCATAATTTTTCTGTCGGAGTTTATAATTAAATGTTAAAATTTAAGTGTTCATTGTTTCCTTGTTTTAAAACTATTGATTCTTTCAGTGGTAATAAAATTGATATTTAAAGTCTACATTCGGGACAAACAGGGGAAACAGGGTTAAATAGAAGTTATTCTCCCCGTGTGGGTTCTGGGGCCCTGTTATAGGGAAAACAAGAATAGACCCACTGCATACCCAAAAGCATGTCATTGGAGTCGACTAATTAGGAGCTTCCTTTAAACTTGAATTGCATTTGCCTGAGAGGCAAGGAACCAGCAGTTTGCATATAAATGAGTCAGATCTGTAAAGCAGATGCACACGCAACACTCAGGTTCTGGAACAGGACTGCAGTCCAGGAGGGGATGAACAACCAGAATTTTCTGCCAGAGTTTACAGCTGGTGAACACAAAGAAGAAGGAGAAGAAGAAGTCAGTGACTGCTTAAAAGAAGGAGAAGATTACTCCATTAGTGATTTCTGCCATGGAGCTGACTTTTCTATTATTTGGGATAAAAATGCAAGCCACCACCTGGGTGGTTCACCAGGACCAGGGCTCAGACCCATCAAATCCTGTCTACATCTTTCCATCATCACCCTAGAAACGGGTTCTCTACCTTGGGTCTGGCTAACATAGATTGGATCTGAGTTTCCTTTGAAGACTAAGCACCTCTGCCTGAGAGGTGAGGAACTAACAATCTGCACACTAATAAGCCACTTCTGTAAAATGAATGTGCTGTAACACTTAATTCCTGGAACAAGACGAAAGTCTAGACATGGATAAACAGTTACGACTTTCTTCCTTAGTCCACAGCCAGCGGATGCAGAAGTGAAAACAAATATGAACTATTCCTCTCCTCCTCCTTCTTAAGCAAGTATTTCTGTGAGGTTTACTTTCTGTCAGCAGTCACCTGTCCATGAAAATATACATAAATACATCACCTTTCTAGGCTGTAGCCACAGCATGATAAATAAATTGATGTATTGATTAGCGCTCACAGATACCTAGGACAGAAGTAGAGATAGGACACACTAGGCAGGATACAAATCGGTAGCTTTGTTGTTGTCTAGTGTGTTTTCTCATTTCTACTTCTTTTCTGTGCATCTTTGTGAACTCAAGTTATCTTCTTCTTCTACCTCTGCATTCCTGTTCCAAGAGCACTTGGCATATTTTGTTGTAGTTTATAAAACTGCCATTGTTGCCTACATTTACCACTTTTGCTGTGTGTGTGTTTCGGAAGATGGGGGGGGGGGGGGGGGGGGTATGAGGCTGAGGATTTAATGCTGCATGAATAGTGTGGTTACATTGGACTGTAGGGTAGGATTAAATTTTTGACATTGACAGAAAGAAATCCGCAACCTTACTAAGAATTAAACTTCGGCCTCCGACATGAAAACCCATTGTTCTTATCCATTCGGTCAGCTGCTCCTCTGTGGTTTAAGCAAATCCTTGATTAGTTTACCTTTTGTAACTTGCTTTTTAAAGGACAGTGGGTGTGCGCCCTCCCCCCCCCCCCCCTCTTTCCAAAATGAGGCTTCGAAACCCACAAGGAAGTTTTTTCTTCAAGGTTGTTGTTTTTTTAGTCCAAGACTCTCAGTTGTATATGCGTCTTTTCTTTTTACCCCATCATTGAACTTTCTTGTCATATTGTGTGGATTAGTTAATTTTTTTTTCATTTTTAATTAAAAATAGTAAAAGTGAGACATAGTTTATTGGCTTTACTTTGTTTGCTTGTTTCGCTATCCAGATTGACCATACAATTCAAGTCCTCATGAATGCCCTTGTTGAGAGACAGAAGAAATACAGCAAATACGTGGAACAGTTTGGGCGTGTCAGTGAGACATTGATAACCTTGAAGAAAATTCAGAAGTCTATGACTGACATTGTTCCAAAAATGGACATGTTGAATCGTCTGCTTCCTGCATCCGAGCAACTTGAACCATTTTCTACAAAGGCAGAAAGATCTTCATCAAAATAACAATGTTACAGACTAATTTATTTACTTGTATTCACTTTGTTTAAATCTAAGATTTACAAATTCTGTGCAGAATAACACTTTACTTAAATATGGGTAGAAAGCACACTTTTATTTGTCCTAACCACGCTGTGGTTATGCAGTCACAGGGTTATTTGCTTGCTATTATGTTCAACACTTTTTTTTTTAAATCATTCCATTTTGATACATAATTGCATGGTTTTTCTAGCATCTAGGAAATACAAAATAGTCATAGTAATTAATTTTTGAAGTACATATTTTTAAGAGTTTGTTATTCATTATTCATTACACAGACATCTTCATTGCACATCAGGTATACCCATAATTGCTCTGGCCTTCTCCTAAGCACATTCTTTAGTGTGTTTACAATGACGTCTATGGTTCTAAAGTGGTATATATAGCAATTACGGACTCTGGCATGGTTTTTACATCATGCTGTTTTAATTTATGTACTCAGACTTTGTATCCAAGTCAGAGATAAATCGGTATCCTCATGTTTGAAAATTTCATCACATGTTGTCTTTCGTATACCATTAATAATATCATTTCTTGTCATTAAGTAACATAAAGGACCTAGAAAAAACTCAGGCTCAATAGGGACCTGAACCCATGACCTTCCGTTCCACAGGCGAGTGTCTAGCCGCTATAAAATGGTGGCTTCCACTTTCTTAAAGATTGTTGATAAAAGTAAAGGTGGTCCCATTACAGTTACTGCTAGTCAGTTGGAGAGTGCTAGTCCTTCATATGTTGTAGGCCACCAACTTGCAAGGTGAAAGGACATTCTTAAGTGATTGCTAGTCAAGAGTCAATTATGCCTCACTCTGAGTTCTGCTTAGGCATAAATTTGAGCCAAGACTAACCTTATGTGGAGCAGGCAAATAGTCTGACATTTACTAATGTCATTTTCCACATATGCATTGCACAAGCCATAATGTAATTTATGCCATCGTCTGAAAAAGTGTGGTGTGCAGTAATATCAAAACCACGGTGATCTCAAGAGAGTAGAAAAAAACCAAGATCATGATAGGACAGTATGCATTGGAGCAGGTCAACCAGTTCAAATACCTTGGAGTTGTAATAGACTGAAATGAAGGCATTAGAACAGAGCTAGCTACTCAAATAGTAGCTGCTGGGAGACATGTCCAGGGGATAAAAACAAACGGTTTCCTAGCAAAAGAGAAATTGGCAAGAGGACAAAAATGGTTGTTTACCGTTCTACCTATTTGCCAGTTCTGACCTACGAGTGTGAGTCATGGGTAATGACAATAGCTCACAGAAGCCAGTTTCAGAACTGAGATATCTGAGAAAGGTGGTCCAAATGACAAAAAGGGACAAAGTCCGCAGTCAGACAATACATCAGGATCTTGAAACTCAGGCCTTACAAACTTGAGTGGATCAAGTCACAATTACGATGATTTGGACATGTATGCAGAATGGAGAAAATCAACCACCATGGCAGGTATGGGAGGCTAAGAACTAGGGAACCAGACCTCCAGGCGACCCAGGGTCCACAGGAAAGACAACATCCATGAGTCCCTGACTGACAGAGGACTGATATGGAACAAAGCTAAAAAGTACACTGCTGATAGAGAAGTCTTGGGATCTCTCTGGCAGATCTCTACACCTCCAAGTGAGGTAATTGTGCACCATGTCCAGTATCTTACTGCTTTGATGATGACTGTGGACAGAGCCTCTCCTCTTTGAGTATGAATATTTTATGACATGCCGCACTGTAAAGCTCAGTGATTTTATGCATTCTTGTTTGTAACTGTTAATTGTCCCTTTGTGTCATATGCTGATGAAGGTTTAAAAGCCACAGTGTTGTAATGTTAAGCTAGTTAGTTCTACTTCTCATTTGGATTTACATTTGTTCAACATACAAGGTGGGCTGACCAGTTCTCTTTCTTTTTGCATTTCCAACCCAAAATTTGAAATTTGTCTGGAACCCATTTTTATGTTGCCCTCTAAAGCTTAAATCTAGTAGCTAAATCATTTATGGGACATAGTCCCATAATGCTGATGTCTAGAATTTTTGCAGAGACCTGTTCTTGAAAAGCATAGTAACGTCCATTCAGTTCTAAGTGCACCAGCGCAGTGTTCAGAAAGCCTTATCTGAATATATTAAATAAATAATCAGTTAGGCTGTTTCCTTATGACCAGAGTGGCTTTTTCAAAGCCATGGTGACATCAGATTTTCCTGTAAGCCTCAGTGTCAGAGGTAACAGGGACATGGCATGAGTCAAACAATACAGATTTGTTTTAGGACCAGGAGAATGCATCCCATTTAAAGCTTCACTGTTCATGTTTATTGTCTGTAATTTTTTTTAAGGATTTGCTTCAGGAACTTTAACATGTTCATGATTTATTTTTTAAGCATTCGCAAGGCAAAAGAGTTAAAAGCTATATTGTTGATAAAGCTGGTTCCCATGTGGTTTTTCGGGAAACAGATATCACCACCTGGCTGTTAACCACAACACTGCATGCCAACTGCCTTTTCAAGGCTGAAAGCATTAATGGTTCATGTAGGCAGTATGCCTGGCAATAAATTGTGCAATCTTGTTTGTGTCTTCTTTGTTTGAATATAACATTCAGAAGTGCTAAATTTTAGATGGTGGGTTCAGGGCTTCATTTTTTAAATTCTGGGGTTGGGGGGGGGGGGTGTGAAAAGACCCCCCCCCCCCCCCCAACAAGTATGTCGTAAGAATCGACTGATTATGAGCATTCCTTCATACTCAGAGTGTGAGGACCAGCTGTCTGCAGCATACAAATAACATGAACAGTTGTTTATTCAGTCAACATACTTTTTAATTGAGAGTTGTCAATTGGTAGGTATTCGGCAAGTGGGCATGTGTTCCAGTTGAGTTCTGATAGACGTTTTCAACCATGCATTAGGGGTGGGCTGATCACAGCCAGACTGGTCATTGCAACTCTGGGAGCCATCAACTCCGAGATGCCCTGCCAACTCAGTTCAGGTCACAATGGTGAGCCTTTATTCATAGCGCATGACGTGGACCTGTCGCAGAAGTCTTTCATTAGGATCCATAAAACCAGCACAGATCCTGCTAGCGCCCTAGGTGAGGTATTGAGTATCTCCTTATAACTTTCCCTCACGCCTGTGTCCCAAATCACCGCCCCACACTGCCAGATTCTTCAACCGGTTGATGAAGAAAAAGAGTGTGGTTGATTTAGGTAATGCCATAGCAGTTATTGCTTCTGAGATGTGGAAGGCTTTTACATTTTCTAAGTCTTGATATATATGGTGGGTGGCTAGTTCTTTTCCTCATTATCTTTCTATCCCATAAAAATTTTCAGAAGATTCTACTAGGTATCATCAACACTGTGCGGGCTTGACCAGTGGATAATGATCAATATCTGTCACTAACATGTTAGCTTGACCTGAGACTAAAGCATGGCGAAGCACCCGCAAGTCGCCTTTGCGGCTAAGGGAGACATTATAACCAACTTCTCATGGGAACAGTCAGCAGAGGTACCTTGGAGTTTCTGCTGCATCAGAGGAGTGAGCATGATGGGAATGCCTTATGTGCTGTGATGTCGAAAGTGATAACATACCCATTATTATGAAGCCCTGTTTAACCTTGTAAATAAATTATCTTTAAAAATGTTTTCTTATTCATTTCATGTATTTTGTTGTTGTATTCAGCACATTAATACATAGTTGAAAAGGGTCTGTATGGAGGGTTTTGAATGGGCCTAATGCCTTCCTTTTTCCTCAATTTTCCCTAGAAAATGTGTGAAACTAGGGAGGGGGGTGGCTGAGCCCTCTTCCCCAATGTTTTATTTGTTCTAAATGATGATGAAGAATATTCAGTTACACATGCTGCTTTGTTCAGAAAGATTGTTTCATCTGTTACTCTAATTTCAAACAGCAGTCATTCATTGATCATCATGAGCATGTGCCATGCCAGGTGGTGTAGAAACAACTGTAAGTCGCACCGACTGTCTCACTGAGCAGTGGGAGTGAGAGGGGTGTGACAAACTGGCAACAGTGTGTTTTTAAACATCACAAATGTGTGTTTTTAAACATCACAAATGTTTTAGGGATTGACAGGAAGTTTTACGCACCGGGTGTCACCGGATCTTGCTAAGCCACAGAAAGAGGTGGCCATGTCTCTCCACATATCTTGTTATTTTGAATCAATTCTACTGATGATGTTCCTCAGTACCATCGCTCCAAGCCCTCATGCATCATTTTCCTTGGCGTGCTTCTTACTTTTCTACCGTTGATCTTTCCAGTCATCAGGATGTTCTCAAGTGCCTCTCTTCTCATCACATGACCGAAGAACACTAACTGTCCCTTTCCTTTAGTTGATTCACTGGTGGTTTTCATAACATCGTGTTTGTCCGTCGTGATTGTTTCAGTCACTGGGGCTACTGAAGGAAAATTCTTCTTCTTGTGAGTTTGATTTTGATAGGGCGATTGAAATTTGTGTCGGGGTCTCCGTGGCAAAATGGGCAAGCCATTTGTCTTGCACCCAGAGGGTAGTTGGTTTGTTTCACAACTGCGTTGTTCGGTTCACGAGTGCAGTTTTTTTTAAACAGAGATCCCTAGGTAATATCTCCGGAGCTACAGAGTTTGTGCTTTATGTAACTCACTCTTATTCTCTGTCTGTCTCTCTCTCTCTCTCTCTCTCTCTCTCTCTCTCTCTCTCTCTCTCTCTCTCTCTCTCTCTCACTTTAGGTGTTCTGTGGAGAGAGACTGCGCCTAATGGGATGAAACCCAGTGCAAAGAAGTCGATCCTGTCATCTTTAACTTTAGCACCTTTTATTGCGGTTTACATCTGGAAGACGATATCAGTGTCTTTCTGTACAACACATCTGAACTCAGCAAACGCCGTCATGCTTGTCAGGGAGCAGTGGGTCAGTCCTCCTCTATCCAGAAATGGTGCCCCGGAACCCACACAGAAAGAATGGACTATATCAGTGGTTCTCAACGTGCCTGTTGCGACCATTGTTTGTGTGGT